CCTTCTTCCCACCTCATTTCTGAGTGGGCGCTAGCTGTCGTGTTCTCCTTAACACTTCCTCGTTGGTGACACTTTCTGGTTGGGTGAGTGGGAAAGGGGGGGGGGGTGGTTTACCATGGGGGAGCAAAGAAAAACCCCTGCCGTGATACTGCGTGTCGTAAGAGACGACTAAAGGTGCGTCTCCCAAAACGTGCAACTTCTTTTTTTTTTGTTGGTAAGTGTTTTACGGCGCTCGCAACTGCATAAGGTCATATGAGCATGCGGGACACATTAAACCTTTTCAGTTGGTAGGAAATTTTGAATTTTGCCCGGGTGGCGGCTAAAGCCTACTCTTATCGATTTTAGACCACCAAGGGATCTTTAACGTGCGCAACTTGCACACGGGCCCTCCGAGATTTTTCGGCCATGTCCGAGAAGGCTAGGCGTAGATCTTTCCTACCAGAAGATCAGGGGTGTGGATGAAAGACAGCAGTAAGGAGGGGCCAAGGAGTAGCAGTACAGAAAGAGTCAGGAGCCCAGAGGAGGGGGGCAAAGGAGGTGAGGTGAGTGGAGGGGGCAGAAAGAGGAGACGAAAGTAGACGACAGAACATTGCCTGAGAGCAGGAAAGGAGGGGAAAGGAGACAATTTCAGAGAAGAAAATGTTTCGGTCGCTACCCGGATTCGAACCCGGGACCTTTCAATGAGAGGCCAACACCTTAACTTCTAGGCCACGAGAGCCCCCAAAGTGCCAGTTTGCAGAGGGCCAATTACCCGATCCTTGAAAAAACTGAAAGTTACAAAAGCACAAATAAATACGCCTATTTTTTTCGATCTTGGCTACAAAATTCGTGCGTATAAAATACGCGGCTATAATATACGTCGTATATGCGTGGCTCAATTAATTATTACTCGTACGTCTAAAATATGTGGCTACAAAATAGACTACAACATTCGCACGTTATTTTTATACACTAGATCTAGATCTAGTAATCTGAACCCAAAGACTGTAGAGAAAGCATTGCTGTTTTTGTGAGTGCAGCTGTATATTAGGTGAAAAGTCTGTTTTGTATGGAAGAGTGAATGTGGCACAGAGCAATCGAGCATGTGTGTGCGTGTGTGCGTGTGTGTGTGTGTATGTGTGTGTGTGTGTGTGTGTGTGTGTGTGTGTGTGTGTGTGAGAGAGAGAGAGAGAGAGAGAGAGAGAGAGAGAG